TTTCAATAATATTGGAATGTATTACAAACATTAAAACAATCGTAATTATGAACATATTTTTCAAAGTACATCATAGTATAAAAAAAACAATGTAAATATTTATAAAGGTAATCATATTAGATCAAGATATTATTACTGAAATTATAATAAAATATCAAATATATCAAATATCAAAAATATTAATTTCCACAATTTTGTAATTTAATCAAAAACCCAATTAAAAAATAAAAAACTTTCAAACAACAAATACAACTAAACTAGTTGATTATTTTTTGTTTTTGTTGTATATTAAGTCGTCTATGATATCAATTTTGACATCGTCTGTTATTTCAGTGTTTTTTCTTGACATTTTGATGCATACAAATATATTCAACATTAATACAAATGTAAACAACAATATACGTTTTTTAATAACATTAAAATATTGTAATTAAACTTATATTTAGAAATTCATATAACAACGATTAACATAAATAACATCCAAGTGATCAACAAAGGAAATTTTTCAAACAATTTTAAATTATTACTAAAACATATACAAAAAACAGATTTAATTTTGTGTAAACATCAAGCATTAAATAAAAAAACAATTGGGATGTAATTTTGGGACGACTTTTCAAAATGTTTTATTTTTTTTAAATGTACCAGATAATCAATAAAGACAGACTTAATAATATTATTTCGTTATAGTAAAACTTAATTAACCTTAGTGAATTAACTGAACCATTTTTATGGGAAAATGAAAACTGGATAAGTTTTATCTGGATCATATTTTATTTTTAAAGCGATTAAAAACAAATTCAAACACACAAAATCAATTGGTTTTCGCTCAATCTAATGGTCTTTACAGACCCATGTTTACTCTTTTTTAACATATATTCAAATAATTTATACTTACTATTACTGAACATACATAAAAGTTCACGAAACCGCTTCGGTATTTATCAGTTTTTCAGAATTTATATTGGTATGTGACACGCAGTTTTTTATTAAAATCTTTTTAGTTTAAATAAAAAAATTTAAAAAAGTGACTTATTTTTAAAAATAAAAACAAGGATAAAAATTATTTAGTTTTTATTTCTTCAAATTAAATTATATATTTTTGGTATATTTTCATAATGTTTTTAAATATAATTGTAAATGTATATTTTCTACTCAAATAAATTAAATTGAATGTTTCAAAATATAAAATTTTAAACGATTATGTTCAAAATATAAGTATCTATTATAAATTAAAAATTACTATATAGTGAATATTGTATAATTTCGAGTACTTTTCATTCGGGTTTTTATCAATTTTCGTGAGTACTTTTCTGTTTGTTTTATTTTATTAAAATTATAATCGTTATGAATTTTATTAATGCATAACCATTTTTTAATTCATTTCATGTATAGAAGTATATAATTTGAAAACCATGTTAAATCCATATTGTTGATTAAAAATGTCATGTTTCACAATAATCTATTTCGTCTATTTTTATATATAAATAAAACAACCAATTTAATTAAACGTTTTGTTTCTCGTTTATATATTCTAAATATTAAACCCAAAAGTAATCTAAAAGTTTTATTTCGAGTACTTAATTATAGAGCTGCCATAATTTGTAAATTACTAAATATTTTTTTGTTTATTTTGTTTTTTAGAAAACTAAAAAATCGGGAAATTAGCTTATTTTTTATTTTTTCAAAAAAACCACAATATTTGAATAGTAAATTTGTTATTTGGTTAATAATTAAATAATAATTTGAAATTGATGCTTATTAGAAAACACACATATCAACAAAACATTAAAAAACTCTACGTGTTATCAAAAAATAAAAAAGAACAATAACAATCAATTCAATTTTTATTTTGGCCAAGTGGTAAAAAACAAATTAATAATATTTAAATAAAATAAAATAGTCCACTTCTTCATCGTGTTAAATACATATAATATTCACATTATCCAATACAACTTTTAAAATCAATTATAATTAAAAATAATTTACAAAAATCAGCCTGACAATTATATTTATTTTGAAAAAAATGACAAGATAATAAATAACAGTAACCAATGCGAAATATTTTATTTCATTTAGTTAAATATTTATCGAGTAAATATTGTATTACAATTACAATTTGATAGTTGTTTACATTGTTGGTATTATTAAATACAAATACTAATATTAAAAAACAGTTGATTTAAAATATTGTGTCTCTATTAATTTACAACCAAAACAAAAACTTTGTGTTTTGATTGAATTTTTATATTATTAATGATATTCAGTTTCACATTGTTCAATTATTGAAATATAACAACATTTGCTCATAAAAATAGAAACTTATTGATAATTAATTATTGTATTTATTTTTGATACTCTATTGACAATATAATATATTATTTTTTCAACTCATTAAAATAAAGTTTTTAATTATTCGTTTAAAGAAGCTATCAAGATATCAATTTAAATTATCAAACAACAAATATTCAATTGTGTTCATGTCTATTTATTGATAATTCAATCTTTGAATTTAATTATAAATTATAATGACATTAAAATTTTTGATTATATTTGTAACTTTTGTATAATTACAATAATATTATTAAAAAACAAACAAATAAACATTAAAATTAATACCATTTATTTTATTGTATAACTACAGCGATAAAAAATAAAGCACAGCTTATATTGATAATTGCATGTAATCAAACATTACTTATGTTTTTAAAACGTCTTTTAATTATTTTTGTTTAATTATTCAACATAATAAGAATTGTATTTTGATAACACAACGACAGGTATGCTCCAGTTTAATAAATACACAATTCTTTTATAAATTGTTTATATTTTATAATATGAATTGGTCTAATAATTGCATTATTAACTGTTACATTTTTATTAAGAAACTCTGTTATAATAATTAAAATGCTTATATTTTTAAATATAAACATGAGACATCAAACAATATTTATAAAGTAACACAATAAAATAAAGAGAATATATTCATTTACAACAATTATCAATTTTAACTTGTTTCTTATACACATGATAGCAAAAATGATCATTGCTTTCATTCAAGAGTTAATAATTGTAAAAAATTAATTTGATATACAAAGTCTAAAATAATTATTATCGTTTAATTAATATTCTATAATTTCTCTGTAGTAGTTTTCAGTAATAACATTTTCAATAAAAGGATTTAAACAATCATAATAAATAACATTTATTAAAAGGAAAGAAATACACAATTTTAATATGGACTATTGAAAAGGTTTAATTTTACCATTTTATCCACAATGAGTATTTTAACTGCTATCATATTTTTATCAATAATAATTTTTATTGTTTTTTGTTTGGGGGTTTTGGTAATATTTTTAAAAATATGCCGAATTAATATGTGTTTAACAAAAAATAACACAAAATAATAACATTTCAAAATAAAATATAAAAAAATTGTAGAGTTTGATTTTTAAGTTTTGTCTTGATGATAATTTAGTAATTAGATTACCGAGTAATTTAACTACTTGGTAATCAAATTACTGAAATTACCTATTACTGAGTAATTTAGTAATTCGAAAATTATTGCAGCTCTATTTAATTAGTTTTTAAAACTTTTACAATATTCATTTTCTTTTCTGACATTTTTATATAATCAATAATTTCGGATATATTATTATATTGTTTAAAACAAATAACTAACAATCAAACAATTACGTGTTCATTTTAGTTGGCGTTCGTATTTTCATGAAATAAACTATAATTAATTTGATGTTCTTTTTTTAAAATATAATACACATCAAAACTTAGAAGCAAATTAAAAATAACTCAAATTTATCGTTTTGAATATTTAATATAAATTCAAATATCATCTCAAAAGTATACTCAATGATTATTCTCATTGTGTTATGGTTTATTTCCATTTCATATTCTAAAATAACAACTCAATGGTGTAAGTATTCAGATAGAATCGAATGTGTTCAATTTGGCAATCAATGTGAACAAAATTTCCAATGGAGTTTATCCACAGAACGAATTCAGTTACCTTTAATTGAAGATGGTTATATTATTAAATGTAAACTAAACACACACCTTGAAGTAACCATAAATTCAAAATACTATACCAAGTTAAAATTTAATACCAATAACTATACATACAAGTACTCTCATGAGTACGACAAGTTTTTTTAATTGAACAAACTTTACATAATAAAAGTAATTTTGTAAAAACAAATGCAGTTCTCAAAACTTTTTGAACGAATTGTAAACAGTGTGTAGATACATCATCTTGTGTAGAATGTAATGATGGGTATTATTTATCAAACGGTTCGTGTTATTCATGTCACCCATATTGCAATATATGCAATGATGATACCAATTATGGATGTTTGACATATAAAGATGGTAAATATTTAACTCAAAAAACCAAGTGCCTTGCTTGTTCTTATTCGTGTCTAACTTGTTTCAATGGAACAATTGATGATTGTTTAACATGCCGAAATGGGTATTACATGTCTGGTTCAAGTACTTGTTTGAGTTGTCATTATTGGTGTGAAACGTGTTATGGTGGTTCAAATACTGAGTGTAATAATTGTAAATCTGGGTACTATTTACAAGGATCCAACACTTGTCTACCTTGTTCATCTTCGTGTAAGACTTGTTCTGGATCTTCTACTTCATGTCTTTCATGTTTTTAATTATAAGTCAAATAACACATGTCTTAAATGTGATTCATCATGTAATACTTGTTTTGGATCAGAATCTAATAATTGCAATTCGTGCCGATCTTCTTATTTATTAACAAATGGTCAGTGTCTTCAATGCGATTCATCATGTCTCTCTTGTTCTGGAATCGGGCCAAACTATTGTAAATCATGCCCATATTCTTATTTTAACAGCAATGGATATTGTGTAAAATGTGATTCATCATGCAGTACTTGTAATGGCCCTTTGCCCAACAATTGTTTGTCTTGTCGATTCACATTTGGCATTTCGGATGGGTATTGTGTAAAATGTGATTCATCGTGTAATAAATGTATTGGTACAACTGCTAACAATTGTCTTACATGTTATGATAATTATCAACTGATCAATGGCAATTGTTTCAAGTGTGATCCATCTTGTAAAACATGTAATGGACCTTATTCTACTAATTGTGAATCATGTAATGAATATTCTTATTACTCAAATGGGTTTTGCATGAAGTGTGATTATTCATGTAATTAATGTAGTTTTGGTGCACCTGGAAATTGCCGAATATGCAAATCTTATTATTATTACTCAAATGGGTATTGTCTCAAATGCAGTCCAAATTGTAATACCTGTAATGGAACAGCCGAAAACAATTGCCTGACATGTAAAACTGGTTATTACTTATCAAATGGATATTGTGTTCCTTGCAATTCAAATTGTATTAGTTGCAGTGGTAATTTTGCAAACAATTGTGATTCTTGTAAAAGTGGCTTTGTTTTAATAAATGGGGTCTGTTCACAATGTTCTTCGAATTGTATTACTTGTACAACTACAAAATGTCTGACGTGCGATTCGAACTATTATCTATCAAATAATGTTTGTAACAAATGTCATGCTGAATGTGATAGTTGTAATGGTCCTGGACGAACAAATTGTACTTCTTGCAAAACTGGATATTTTGTGGATAAAAATTATGGGGAATACAATCACACGTGTCAACAATGCCCCACTAATTGTGTGTATTGTGATAATTATGATAATTGTTGGGAATGTGAACGTGGGTATTACTATACAAGTAATGGCAGATGTGTTAAATTTAAAACCGAATACTGTGCAATCGGATACAACGAAGAATGTTATGGTTGTTTGATTGGATATTATTTGGATAAGAACGACTGTTTGAAGTGTCCCAGTATATGCAGATCATGCTATGGACCGACAACATCTGAATGTTACTCGTGTAATGATGGGTATTATATTGCATTTTATACGTGCCTTAAATGTTCTTCTGAGTGTCAAACATGCGAATATAATTCTACTTTTTGTATGTCTTGTGAGGCAGGCTTGATATATTTGTTGAATTATCAGTGTATTGCTTGTGATAATTGTAAGCCCGGGCATTGCATATCAAATACGACAAAATGTGATTTGTGTAATGATGGATTATATTCTGACAATGGGTTATGTAAAACTTGCGATTCCAACTGTCTCACATGCTCAAATTCTTCTTCAAATTGTTTGTCTTGCAAGCCCGGGACTTACCTTTCAAATTCGATGTGTCTCACTTGCAATGCAAATTGTGAGACCTCTGGATGTCATACGACTTTGGGGTGCACAAATTGTAAACCGGGATATTTCCCAAAGAATCTTGGGTGCAGCCAATGCAGTGAAATCGCAAATTGTGTTACTTGCAGCCAAACTGAACAAAAGTGCACAACTTGTACGTCTGGTATTTCATATGTCAACTCAAGTGGATTGTGCTCACTTTGCGACGCGTCGTGCAAAACTTGTAACACTGATGGAACGTGTAACGGGTGTATTGACAATTATATACCATATTTAGTCAACAACAGATCATGTCAGGCGTGTTCTTCGTTTGACCCAAATTGTGATGTTTGTGGTGAAAATCAATACAGAAGATACACAACTTGTAAAGACAATTATTACTTGAACTTGAATGGCACTTGTTCTCGGTGTGATCCTTCTTGTGCAAATAACGGGTGTGACAAAAAGACAGGAATATGCAATACATGTGCAGTGGGGTTTACTAAACAGAGTGTCGATAGTGTTAAATGTCAGTTGTGTACCTCATATGATCCCGATTGTTCGACGTGTTCACAAACCACCAGAAAATGCACAAAATGTGTAACTGGCAAATATCCAAATCCATCATCACCATTTTCTTGTATGTATTGTCACCTCAGTTGTCCGAATGGGTGTTCGACAACAACAGGCGATTGCATGACTTGTACAAATGATCAGTATACAATCAACCCATCAAACCCAAAACAGTGTCAGAGTTGTTTGGGATTTGATTCAAACTGTCTCAGCTGTTCAACAACAGAAAGAAAATGTCTATCTTGTCGAAGTGATGTTTCGTATTTGGTCAAAGGGTATTGTGTCTCATGTGATTCAACTTGTTTAAAATGTGACTCAAATGGTTTATGTATTAATTGTGTTGATAACTACGTCTTTGATGAACCAAAACAACAAAAGTGTATAACTTGTACATCATTTGATGCAAAATGTGAGACTTGCAGTTCAAGCAGTTCAAGAAATTGCACCAAATGCAAATCGGGTATGTACCCCGATACTACCACTGGAAAGTGTAAATTATGCGATTCTTCATGTGGTGGTAGTTGCGACACAACAAATGGAATGTGCACAAACTGTGTTTCTGGTAAAGTGTTTGATGATCCAAAGGGCAAGACCTGTGTCGAGTGTTCAAATTTTGATGCAAATTGTGTCGAATGTGCTTCAAATGGAGAAAGAGTGTGTTTGAAATGTCGGGAAAACAGTGGGTATTATTTACTGAATGGAAAGTGTGTTGCATGTGATTCAACATGCAAAGCAAATACATGTAATTCGACAACGGGATTTTGTTCACAATGTTTGGTAAATTACACAGTGACATCTCCAATTTCTAAAGTCTGCAAACCATGTTCTGAATTTGACCCATACTGTTCAAAATGTGCTTTAGATTTCACAAGAAAATGCGAATTGTGTTCAAATGGAAAATACCCCAAACCGTCAGATAATTACAAATGTGGTAAATGTAATCCGACATGTGATGGAAATTGCAATGGTACAAATGGTCTTTGTTTGAGTTGTTTACCAAATTATGTATTTGCTTATATTTGTGATTCGTGTGCATTATTTGATATAAACTGTTTGACGTGTGACTCGACATATCAGAGAAAATGCGTAACATGTCGAACAAGTGGGATGTATCCAAGTGACTCAACATACAAATGTGTCTCATGTGATGCAACATGCAATGGAAACTGTGATCAAACAACGGGCAAGTGCACGGGTTGTATCAACAATTACGTGTTTGAAGCAACTAAGAGTCGTGTGTGTGTTGCTTGCAAATCGTTTGATCAAAATTGCAAAACGTGTTCTTCCAATTACAACAGAAAATGTGTTGAGTGTGAAAGTGGATACTATCCAAATCAAAGTGGCGTCTGTGTGTCATGTAACACAACCATAACAAACTGCAAATCATGTAATTCAAGAGAAAACAAGTGTTTGTCGTGTCAAAACCCGTATTACCTCTTCAACTAAACGTGTTTGAGTTGTGCTTCTGGAAGTTATAAAAACACTGAAATATCATGTGAAAAGTGTTTCATTGGCATCCCAAATTGTCAAGCGTGCTCAACTAAAATGGTTGGAATTCCTGTTTGCACCGCTTGTTATTCGCCATATGCATTTGATTCCCAAACCAATTTTTGTGATTTGTGTGGTACAAACAAAAGTTACAGCACAACAAC